CGAAAGCAATGACCCTGTGTGAGAAAGGGACTGAAAAATCAACCACAGCAGGCGGATTAAGGCTTCAGTGTTTTCAGTCTGACATCATATGCTGCTACTAAACCAAGATCGCGAAATAGAAAACTTAATTCACATAACAATCTCCGTCAGAGTCATTCGCTACAGCTGTATATATGAAAACCGCGGATTAAATACATTTTTAAATTATATTAAAACTACCCGGAACTGTATCGAATTTTATTTCAATTTAAAATGTATCTTACGATGGTAATATTCACTGAGGCAGCCGTATTTGTACTAGAGACAATCTGCCCTCTAGTGACCGCTTTAAAAAAAGCGCAAACTCCGCACAGCTGCACGCAGCATTCACGCGGCAAAAACACGAGTTTTTCATTTTTCATCTTAACGGGGGAACCATGTGTGAAGCAGAAGACTTCAGTTCCGCTAATATGCAACGCAGTCCAACGCAAATGGCATCTTCCCACACGCAGCAAATTGACATTATCCATCCTGACGATTGGGTGACGATTTCTCATCAGCCCTAGAGGTGGCACGATTCACCGGTCATCAGCGCCCCGGCATAAAAGTTGACGATGCAATCGCCCCGTTTAACAAATGTGTGACAGACATGCACATCCCAGCTGCAAGGAGCTCCACTGGAGTGCAGTGTCCTATTCAGCTGTAAGAGGCCAGACTGGTTGACCTGTCACTTCAAAATAACTACTGGCATAATTCTTAGAAAAGACCTTTATGACAAAACGGCCACATCCTGTTATCAGGATTCATGTCTGCATTCGACTCACTTAAACATCAAGAGCCTTTCAGTCAAAGATAACGATGAAGAAGCCGGCAGCTCATCAAGCAAAGTGGACTCTCTTAAACTCTTAAAGCAGCATTTGCCAGCCCAGTCCTCGGGGACCCACAGTCGGTCTGTTTTTGCTCCCTCCCAGCTCCCAGTAGGACTGTCTGTTGGTCCCCAAGGACCGGATTGGGAAAACACTGTCCTAAAGTCTTCAGTTTATATTTTAGGTAACAAAATTACTGTGTGTGTTTTAGGTAAAACCCAAAGTGAAGCTTGCTGTAGACTGTCAAGAGTAACCAGGGTAACTTATCTAGGGTGAATATTCAATAGCTGTCCTCTGATTGGAGGGCAGAAATCCAACACTCGCTGTCATTGGTTAATCAAAGCAAGGAGCAACTACTGTGTTTGAGAAGAGCACCCAGAACCTACGAAACAGAAGGTGTCCTATCTGCTTTACAGGAAATGCACTCTGATCAGATTCACCTGACCTTTCTCATTTATGTCAGCCTTCTATGTAAATATGAGATTATAAAAAATCTGAAAATAGTCTGGACTGGGCAAGTCAACCCCTAAACCCCTAGTATTTCGAGTTTTCACACTCCTGAAAGAAGACTGACACAAGACGACCGCCACTTGCAGGTGGGGGGGGGGGGACTAAAGCAGCTCTAAACCACAACAAGGCCACTCCTCCTCTCTCTGAGAGGTGCTACAAACCAAACACACCCCACTGCAGGAATGTGTAACTTCCACCCCGTGGTGCTGAAACGCACCCAGAGCTCCCCGTTAGCCTCCCAGCAGGCCCCGCCCTGCCAGGGGCACAAACGGCCCCTTTGGGACATTGTCCGCAGGCTGCGGCCTCACCCTTCGTTCACACTGGCTTTGTGGGTGTGCAAGAAGCGGGTTTCATAATCAACAAGAATGTGACAGCTCTGTTTCGCGGGAGGAAAAGTGCAGCAGTTCCAAGCTACACTGTGCCATCAACCCCTCCCTCCCCCACACAACCATAATTTCTACACAAAAAAGTACATCTAATTCTCACCAACAATAGTCTGGTTTCATAAAGCAGACAAACCGCAATACAGCCAATAGGACCCCCCCCCCCCACCACACCCCAACACACCCACA